AAAGGGGGGGGGGGGGGGGGGGGGGGGGGGGGGGGGGTACTCATAGTCGTGCATGCCGTAGTCGTTAGACCATTGACCTCGCATCCCTACAAAGCCGGGACGGAGCACGCCGGGTTCTCAACGGGCTAGGCTCTCACATCACCAAGCGCGAAGCGCCGTGGGGTATTCGGCAAGTCACATAGAGGGTGCGCTGCATCCTGCTAAGGGTGTTCGGCATCTTGTGCTCACTTCCTTGCGACGGGGGGGGGGCGTCTCTCAGAGGTTGCGGTGGCAGCACGTGCTATGGAGGGGTGGTGGGCAAGGGGATCAGGGCATCAGGGCGTGTCTCTCAGGGCTTGCGGTGGCAGCGCACTTTGTTGTCCCAGGCATGGCTTGGAAATGGGAAGACGATGATGAGCGTTCTATTTCCCCCCCGAAGACGATTGTGCTTTTGTCGGGGTGTTTTGTGTCAGCGAGTGAAACATCGTTGTGGCAGCTGGGTTAATTTTCATATCTTAGCTTTAACGCGGGAGAGTGCGCATGCACCCTGCTGCTGTGTTACCGAGTAAAACACGATTGTCCCAGCTGGGGTATTTTTTCGGTGTCATAGCTACTTATTCCGGTGGGGGAGAGTGTGCTCTTACACCCTGTTGCTGGCGCGTGTTTAGACTCTCCAACGCGTGTTGATTGTTTGAGGCGGGGGGGAGAGAGACTTCTGCACGCCGCGTCCGATAGGCGTGTCCCGCCAGCGCGCCCCTGTTGCCCCTGCTGCTGTGACGGCAAACCGCTGTTGGTTGTGATGATCCTGGTGATGCCAAGGCCTGCCGGCGATGCTTCCTCTCGCGTCGTGGAGGACCCTGTTTTTCTGGTTCGAGTGCATATACCAGGCCCCCCCTACCCCACCCTCGATACTGAAAAACGCTCTTTTTGCATTTCGGGTGACCCCACCAAACCCCATCCTCGATGCGAGCGATGATACTCATGAACGCTCTTTTTGCATTTCGGGTCACCACCCCACAAAGGCGGTAACGTAACGCCTCTTTTTTTTTCTGGCGATGTTCGTTTTCACTTGTTCTCAAAGAGGATGGCGCTGTGTACACATGGGGGCGGGGAGACGACGGGCGTCTCGGGCACGGAGACAACGGCTGGAAGTACGTGCCGCGGATTGTGGAGGCGCTGGAGGGGCAGCGAATCGTGCAGGTATGCGGTTAGACGGCTGTGAGTGAACTAAGCCGGGTGAGAGAGAGCGCTGTGGCTCGCCCTCGAGTGTAGGGGGCTTGGAGGTTGGCGCGAGCGTAAGTGGGACAGGGTGTGTGCTCGTAGTCGTGCATACCGTAGTCGTTAGACCGTGGACCTTGCATCCCTACAAAGCCGGGACGGAGCGATATGCCGGGTTGAAAGAGGGACGAGGGGTTCAGGTTTTTGAGAGTCTTGAGTGATTCCCGAAAGGAGGCGCGTCTTTGGTTGGTTGGCGAAGATTTTGAGATGGTGTCGTGTGTGAGAGACCAGTGGTACGTGCGCTGTGCATGCAGGGTGGGCGAGGACCAGCTCTTTCTTGCTCTCACCTGCTGCCGTTTGTGTGTCGCGTATTGGTGCCGTCATACAATTGTGCAGTTGTCTCGCGCTTTGCCAAAGCTGCTCAAGTTCGTTTCGAGCTAGCTGATCGGTTAGTGAAACTACGACGATACGTTCTACGGCATGAATGTGTTTCACCACGGCGCTCCTATGTTACGTTGTTATGGCCCTAACTGCATATGAATATGCGCCTGATCCCAACCTTTCCTGTCGCCACTATTCGCCGCTGTATTGTCGTGGAAGTAGAGAATATGGTGGCGTAGTCGGTTGCACGGCGTTACCGTCAGCACCCACGTTTCTCGCACCAAGATTGCATGTGTGTGTGTTTTTTTTGTCAAGATGTGGTCTGTTGGCTTTGTTCTCCTCTTCTTGACGAGACCATCATGCCAGGTGGCCACAAAGGACTCTCTCGGATGTATATAACCCGGTATGTCATTCCTCTGCCTGTCTCTTCCTCTTTTCCCATGTGTACCCCGCTGATTCGACAGGCAACATGCGGAAGCTACCACACAGCCGCCGTAACGGACAAAGGAGAGCTCTACACCTGGGGAGGCGGCATGTACGGGAAGGTGAGATAGACTGTGAGGCTTTACGAGCGGTGCGGGCTTAGTACGCGGGCGAAGGAGGGGGCAGGGGCGAGGGGTGGCACACGGACGCCTTGGGGTGCTCTTTCGTTTCAGGCTCAAAGCAGTCGCAGAATTGTCGATTGAAATACGTTACGAAACGCCCGCGTTTCCCTTTTTTCTCTCGGCGTTGTTGACCCTGCCCGACAGCTGGGGCACGGTAATGAGAGCGGGCACCCGACTCCCTGCATGGTGAAGCACCTTCGGGACGAGGGGGCGAGGGTCACGCAGATCGCTTGCGGCAGCCGCCACACCGTCGTGCTCACGGACCTGGGCAAGGTGAGAAAATCGTAGAAACATAGTTAGCTTCCGCTGACGATGAATTATGAATTCATTGCTAATCTATCCCAGACTCTACTCTGGGGAGGAGGTGGGTTTGTGCTGTAAGTAAGAAGAAAAGAGGAGTGTCTTTCGTCTTCCGGGACACATACCTCAGAAGTAGCTGTAGCAGTTGTGTGTGTCGGCCCTCGAAGTCCTCCAGGCCACCACATCTGCTGGTGCTGATTGTGACCGTGGCTGGCTTGCTGCTGTGGGCTTGAACTGGGGTTTATAGCACTTCTGTTCGACGATTGGTTGACTCCTGTCTTTCATTCACTCCACCTCGACCGTGCTAAACACTACTTCTTTGCCTAAGGGGAAAACTAGCCAGCGATTCTGATGGTTCGCGGTTGAGTGCCCTCAGTTTCTGGAAGGGAGACGGGCCGTTCAACTTGCGTTGTCTTCTCCAAGGAACTGATTCTAACTATTAATAAATTAATAAGAGCGGGAGGGAAGATGCCTTGGTACTTCGTGCACAAGAAGAAAGCGGACCGTGTCTGCATACAGAGGGGTAGTGCGCCCGCTGCCCTGCCTGTCTGCGACCGAACTCCCACCACCACCGCCGCCGCCGCCGCCGCCTACGCCTACGCCGCCGCCGCTTTTCACGAGCAGGTGTACACGTGGGGGGACAAGGAGAACGGGGTGGTAGGGCACACCAACGCGGACGGCCACCAGTACCTGCCCCGCATGCTGGAGTCCCTGCAGGCCAAGACCGTGACCCAGGTGGCGGCGTGCGGCTTCCACACGGCCGCCCTCACGGCCGCGGGGGAGATCTTCACCTGGGGGGAAGGTAAGGGCAACGCTGGCTGCTGCTGCTGCTGCTGCTGCTTTCGGTAACGCACGGCTCTTGTGGTGGGACCGCGTTGCTGTGTTGTGGGGAAGAAAGAGGATGCTGCTGCTGCTTTCGGTAACGCACGGCTCTTCGCGGTGGGACCGCGTTGCTGTGTTGTGTTGTGGGGAAGAAAGAGGAAAGTTAGGAGGTGTGTACAAGGCGGAGTTTTGTGTTTGCTGTTGTGATTTTTAGCAGTGGTTCTGCGGGCTGACCGGGGGCAGCATCCGCAGGGGTGCCAGGTGCTAGGGGAGGGTCAACTGGCCGCACGGAAGTGGCAATGAAAGGCGGTCCGAGAATAACGAAGTCCACGAGCTATGCCTTGCTGGAAATCAATATTGCGATGGTCGTAGAGCTTGTTGATTCATGGTGCGTGCTTACCCTCTCAACCTCTGCTCGCATTTTTCTTTCGCCAGTGAAGACGTGAGGGTAAAACACGTCCTGCTGTGGGCAGAGATGCAGCGGTCAACATAGATATCCCGTACCCTTTGTGTTGTGTTTGTTGCTTCCATCTTGCTGTGAGAACCGGAAGCGTTCAAAAGCCATACCATCATTCCTTTGCCCCCCCCCCCCACCTTTTTAGGGAAATTCGGACGCTTGGGCCATGGAATGGAACGAAATCAGATGGTGCCCAGAATGGTGGAGGTGAGCGAAAGGCGCCGCGCATCTGCTTCGCCTGATTTTCTCTACGCGGCCGATGGACTTGAGGGGAGGGCCGAGGGGGGAAGGGACATTCTCCACTGTTGATGGCCAGCATCCGGCGCTTCGGAAGAATGCACACTCACGAGGCGATCCGTGCTAGATTCACACGGCCGTGTGTCTTCGAAGCGGTTATCTTTGTCTTGTTTTGTGACGTCGAGTCCCCCAACCGTGATCTCCGCTTTCTCTTGCCGCGGGTCTCCCGGCGTGATTGTTGCAGGCGTTAATGGGGAAGCGGGTGGGACACGTGGCGTGCGGAGGCTTTCACTCGGCGGCGATTTTGGACTCGGGGGAACTCTACACTTGGGGCGGCGGCGAGCATGGGCAGGTGTGTGGACTGCTGTCCTGTCGTTCCTCTGTCGTTGTTGTTATTGCTGTTGTTCTTGTCCTTGGACAGAAGCTGGAGTGTTTGAAACAAGGTTGTTGTTGTTGTTGTGGTTGTGTATAATGTTGGTTTGTTACGCATCCCGCATCCTTGGCAGAAGCAAGGATTGTCTGGTGTTGTTGTGGTTGTGGGTGTATGTTGGTTTGTTTTGTATCTCGTATCCTTGGCAGAAGCACAAGGTTTGGAACATGGGGGATTTAAGTCGGTTACAGCTTGG